GTCGGCAAGATAGTATGCAAGATTGTACTCCCGCCCATTCACGGTGAAGTTTACCCGTGGAGCTTCACCAGACTCAATGTCATAAAAAACCGGTGACCTATCTAGTACATTTATGTCATTCAAACTACCAGGAAGCCCTGAAAAAGCATGCCATATCCACAAATCATATGACGCAACTGCCTCGAGGATAACTGTTGCCGTCCCCTTGTGTCCACTAGTAAACTGCCCTTGCCAAGCCTTAGGACAATTTTTCCACTGCCAGTGCATGCAATCAATACTTCCAATCATCCCTGGGAATCCACGTTCCTGTCCAACTTGGAGCAACCTCTGCAAGTCTTCCACATTTGGTCGTCGTAAGTATTCATCTTGAAACAATGCTATTACCCCTTCGCAAAACTTGCGAGTACACTCGATAGCAGTGGATTCTCCTATCTTGACGTACTCATCACAAGCATCGGCTGCGACTCCATATGCGAGCATGCGTATGGCAGCCGTACACTTCTGGATAGGCGTTAACCCAAGCTTGCCCGCATTATTGCGCCGTTGTGTGAAGTAATCGTCGTAATTTGATATAGAGTCCACAATTCGTAGAAAGAGAGGCCTTTTCATTCGATACCTGCGTCAGAACTGGGAGTCAGTGTAAGTGCATGACTCGGCAAAGTAGTCGGCCATGAGTCTCTCATGCGCTGCATGATGATCTCTATGTATGGATTTCCTCTTACGTGGTTGTTCGCTTCTCCTTTGCAATTCTTCAAGAAGTTCTCGCTGCCTATCAAGTATTTTTTCTTCTATTTCCCATTGTTGTTGGAACTCTTCTAGACTAAACTCATTTAGGAAAGGATCCATTGGATGCTATGATTTTTGAAATGTTGATAGGTATACTTATGATGTGCATCTGATCAGTTTATATAATGAAGGGTAGTTGTTCAAATAATTGAATTCACATGCAATTGCAGAGACATGTGTCATAGGGCATGCATGTGCAGAGAGTTGTCAATTCATATTTTGTATTATTATGCAGGTGTAGTCATTTCATCCTTTGTATTTTTTGCAGTGAAAGGTCAATTCAACATTTGTTTGTTTTTGCAGTGAGTAGTAATTGTATCTTTTGTACTATTATGCAGTGAGAAGTCAATATCAATCGGCTTTATTGAAACATAAACAACAATTTTATTCAAACATAAACAACACTTTTATTAATACATTCAACAAACATAGGCACCCACACAACTCCAAAATTAAACAAACGGCACACAAAAACATCAGAAAAAAGCACACAATCATAACTTCCTGAGAAGGTCTTATTTTCCAAACAGGTTCTTCCTCAACATATTATAAGCTTCTTCATCTTCATCGTCACGATCTGGTTTGTTTTTCAAGAATAACCACATCTCCATATTCTTGGAATGAGCCAGGTTATTCATAGCTGAAGCAGTACTTGATCTTTTCTCTTCAAATTTTTCATGAGCACTGACTAGCTTAGATAACTCCTCCTCAATTGCCCTCTTTGATTTCCTTGACACAGATGTTTTACTAGAGGAAGCTCTACCTTTCTTCTTTGCCACATCCCTACCCTCTGGACGTACAAGGGTAGGAGTTGATGATTCAACATCCTCACCACTACTCTTTCTTTTAGAGCCACTACTACCGGATGCATTTCCTCCTGTCATATATTTGGGTTGATTACGAACCACCTTCCACTCATCCACCAAATTAAACGTCGTACCTATTTTCTCAAAGTACAACTCTTTTGCCTTGGATATGTAGTTTTCATCGGACCAACCGCTACGCTTCTCCCTAAATGCAGTACTGTAGCAGCCAATGAAACTGGATATCCTTCTGTTGATGTCTTTGAAATGAATATGGCACCGAGACACAATCCTCTCCTTTCCACTTTTGGCGTTCTCATTCACGTACTGTGTAATTTTACCCCAGAAAGTTTCACCCTTTTGGTTGTTCCCCAACTCACTATCATTACTAACGTGAAAATAACCAGTTAGTAAAAGTATGTTGTCTTCGGTGGTCCAAGTTTCATAACTTGATCTCTTTGCTGATTGTTGGGTTGGAGGGAGAAAACTGTGAGGAGTATCCCCACCAACATTTCCCAAAGACATTTGGGTGGAAAATTCTGAGATATCTGTAGATCCGCTACTAAACCAGGGTGTCGCTAGCTCACTCGACTCCGTGTTAGGACAATTCATATGAGAGGGAACATAGCTGCTTCCCGGAACTGGAGGATAACCGTAAGGGAGATAAGGATATTGCATGCCGAAATACTAAACCAGGGTGTCGCTAGCTCACTCGACTCCGTGTTAGGACAATTCATATGAGAGGGAACATAGCTGCTTCCCGGAACTGGAGGATAACCGTAAGGGAGATAAGGATATTGCATGCCGAAATTTGGTTGCATCATGTACGGCATTTGAAAATTGGGCTGCATCCCCGTATTTTGAGTATTTTCGGGGCGTTGTATATTTGGATGTTGTGGTTGAGGGAGGGTATTTTGAGGTTGGTTAGGAAAGTTGTAGTTGTAGGAAAAATTAGGATAGTTTTGTGAAGGATCCATGAAGAAACTAGCTTCAAATTGTAGAAAGAAGAAGAATAGGGTGTAGAAACTCAGATTTTTTTTGGTGTCCAAATGACACAAAGTTAGTCTCTATTTATAGAGTTTGAAAAATGAAAATTAATGGTATAAAAATTATAAATTAATTCATTGTATTTATCTCAAAAAATATCAAATAAAAATAAGGAGGAAAAAAAAAGCTCGTGCCCAATAGAAATTCGCCATGTGTCTGCTTGCATCAAGGCGCGCGCGTGGGCTTGTCAGATTCATCCGACCCCTGCTGCCTTCAAATATCCCTTGGAAAACCCCCTGCTGCATATGGTCTAATGGGTATCCTTGTCATAGGAGGAAATTTCCCTCCTTGACGTCTATGTGGCACAATCCCCATCATCCTCATAAAGTAGGCACAAATCCCCACCAACTCACACACTCTCTCTTACTTTATGAGGATGATGGAGGGCAGTCCACAAGGTTTGATGTTTCCCACAGCCAGTTCTCAAAGTAGTGGACCTAATCAATTTTCACCAAACACCGGTGATTCAGTTGGAAAGGATATTCATGACGTTGATGGTGCGTGTTTGTTGGAAATTTACAGTAAAAAGACAGTGAAAGAAAAATTTGACTTGTATTCCTCTCAAGATCAATTACAATTTGGATTCCGATTACAAAAGAGAGGAGAATGAATTTGATTCTCCCCTTTGTTTAAAACTGGGTTCTTCTTGGTAGCGGTGGAGTGCCTCCCTCGAATGCTCGCGTCGAGTTTGCTCTCCGTTGACGATCCGCACGTCTTGATTCACTGGAACATAGTCTTCTCCTCACGATTCGACGCTGTGGAGAACTTGCGTGGCAAGTTTGAAAATAACTCTTAACGAGTTGATAACTCTGAACGAGTTTTAGAAGAACTCGCAGAGCAAGTTTTGAACTCTGATTGAGTTGATAACTCTGACGAGTTTTAGAAGAACTTGCAGAGCAAGTTTTGAACTCTGATCGAGTTGATAACTCTGACGAGTTTTAGAAGAACTTGCAGAGCGAGTTTTGAACTCTGATCGAGTTGATAACTCTGAATGAGTTTGAACTCTTGAAAAAGAGTTGATTTGAACCGAAAGTCGGTTATAAGCCAAGGCCGAATAATCTCAAAGGCTTCAATAAAAGCCTTCCAAAATGATTTAAGAGCTCCTCCAAGTCACTGATCTCCAAAGCTCCTTATTGCTGCAGAAAGCTGCAAGATGCCCGATCAAGGATCCCCAAAAAGTCAGCCCCAAAAGAGAGGATCCCAACTCAGTTGAGTTTTGAGGTATTTATATGGGATTAAGGGTGTAACCGCCCCCTTAAATATCTCCTTAATGAGGGTTTAATGGGGTGTAACTGCCCCTCATAAATCTCTCCATGATAGGGTAGTGATCCCCTAAAATATTGGGGAGAAAACGGTTCTGAAACCGTTCAAATCGTGCTTGAACGAGTCAAAACGCTGAAAACAGCGTTCTGGGCCCGAACTGTGCGTTTCTGGACCTAAAACGCACAGTTGAGCCTTTAAACGCACAGTTGAGCCTGTGAACGCACAGTTAGGACATTTTAGGCTGAAAACGCACAGTTGAGCCTGTAAACGCACAGTTAGCCTGAAAACGCACAGTTGAGCCTGTGAACGCACAGTTGGCCTGTTTCAGGCTAAAAACGCACAGTTGAGCCTGTGAACGCACAGTTGGCCTGTTTCAGGCTAAAAACGCACAGTTGAGCCTGTGAACGCACAGTTGGCCTGTTTCAGGCTAAAAACGCACAGTTGAGCCTGTGAACGCACAGTTGGCCTGTTTCAGGCTAAAAACGCACAGTTGAGCCTGTGAACACACAGTTGGCCTGAAAACGCACAGTTGGCCTGAAAACGCATAGTTCGTGCTGTTTTAGAGATTAACTCTGCGTTTTGATGTTGAAAACGCTGGTTTGCCGTGTGTGTTTTGGCTCTGTAATGCAGAGGCGAACCTTAGGCGGGCTTGGCGAGCTTCAGGCTAAGTCCAATGTTCTGACGAAGTCCGGTCTTACAGACGGACTCCAGAACATAACTTGCTACGAAGAACAGGTCATAACTTTCAAACCGTACGTCGGAATTGGACAAATTATATATGAAAATCGACTATCTCGACGAGATGGATCCATCCGAACCCAGCCGAAGGCTTCGGTTTGCTTCCTCCGTTTTGCCAAATCCCTTACGGTTTGAGAGATATCTGCATTCTAATATGAAGAGACCGTCAATTTGTAGTCTCTTTTGCTAGAGCTTTACACAGTTCGTCCTCTTGTAATCTTCGTCTTGGCTCCTTGGAAATATGAAAGTCGTCAGATTGTAACTCCCGATATCGAATGTGAAGGCTGTTGAATTGGGGCTTCCATTAGTTGTTATGAAGGTCGTCAGATTGTAACCTTCTACGTGAAAGTCCTCAAATTGTAGCCTTCTGGAAGTCGTCAGATTGTAACTTCCATCATCGGTGTTTTGATGGGGATCAGCTATCTATTGTGATTTTTAGACAGCCTACAGAACCCCCTCCAAAGTTTTCGAAAGTTCGCGGTTGACTGGGACGAATTTTTGGAATACTTTGGATCTCAACTCTGATCTTGGAGCTGTTGATTCCTTGTGGTAAAGGATTTGTTCTCTGCACTTGCTTCGAAGGCATCTTGGTTGAAGGGATTTGCTACGTAGGACTTGTGTGAAGGTATGCGCCATAATCCTGCTTCTGGAATGTGGGGGTGGACCCTGCATTTTGAACTTGAGATGCGGATTTCACCCTTGCATGTTGAATTTGGAACACGGGTGTGACCTCGGCGTTTTGGTGTTTGCAACGCGGGTCTGACCTTGACGTTTCGACTTGAGATGCGGAGGTGGCTCTCATGCATTTTTGATTAAGTCTGTGAGACTTATCTTTAGCCCATATGTTTCAAGTCTCGGCTCACGTCCATCAAGTTGCTGAACCTGCAAACATGAATAGGATTTTTGGCAAACCCTCAGCCGTCAACGGATTTGATAAGCCTTTACCGACTACCGTTTGAGTCGGGCTAGCAT